TCTCTCTCTCTCTCTCTCTCTCTCTCTCTCTCTCTCTCTCTCGCTTTACATTGCTAACTTCCCAATTCCCCTTTCACTGGCTGGCACAGCCTTCCCTTCTCCGAGTCTCGTCGCCACCGTTATCTTCGTCTTCTTCGTCGGCCCCTTTTTCCCATCAGCTGCGCTTCTTTGTGTATGTCTCGTCCTTCCCTGTTGCTCCACGTAAACGGTCCATCCAGGAAAGGATATGCACAACAAGGAAATAAACAATCGACAAGATATACTACGAGTTAAAGCAGCAAGTGTTTCATCGCTTAAGTTTGTGAAAGATATAATTAAAGGGAAAGTTCGAAAAGTGCGCGAGTGTGCGTGGGAGTAAAACGAGTGCGGGTTGGCAGTGGCCGCTGCGGTAGTGACAGGGAGGGAGGAGGGGAGGGCACAGGATACGAGAAGTGACGATAGGAAGACAGACAGACAGACAGACAGACAGACAGACAGACAGACAGACAGACAGACAGACAGGCATACATACAGACAGACAGACAGAGTGAGAGAGAGAGAGAGAGAGAGAGAGAGCACGGTGTGCATGTACGGACACAAAATCAAAACAAAGAGCTGCGCCGAGTCAGGGATCTTCTGTATGCGGCCTCGTATGCTTAGGAGACCCCTGGAATAAATCCAAACAAAAAGAAGAGCCCCTCTAACCACATCCGTGCTCTGGTGATCGCGGCTAATGCCCCAAGTGGGCCCTTCCTCGCCAACCCCCTCGCAATCCATTTCTAACAGCACCTCCTCATTACAGTTGCCGTGCGCCCAATAACGCGCAACGTTCATTGGGCCGATTACTTTTCACGAATGCATACCTATGCACGAATGCGCGAGCCCGTGTCTCTTCTCTCTCTCTCTCTCTCTCTCTCTCTCTCTCTCTCTCTCTCTCTCTTTATCACCAACGTCTTATCTCTCCCTCTTTCTACCGCTGTCTACTTCTATCTCCGCTCGTAGGCTCGTTGATTCGTACTCTCGAATGTCCTTAAGACCATTGGAACTATGGAGTGCCGCTCGTCACGTCTCTTTAAATTCGAATTTTCTTCACCAGCGAAAAACAAACGATCGTCGAAGCAAGCAAGAGTTTCTTAGAACAAAAAGCAGACGCACTAGACTGTCTGTCCGATGCAATAGAAAATTATTTGAAAATGGAATACCAATCATTTAACGCCTGCCTTCACTATTAAAGGGCCATTATCTCTTCGTTAGTTTGACGTGTGTTGGTGGGAAGAATTTACGCTCCTTTTGAAGGAATACAATGTAGTAAAGATAAAAACGGAGAGGCCAAGGAACATCGAAGCTTCTATCTTTATAAATTATTTTCTTTATTCCTGGGACGATACTAGTAGTAATGTGTTGTGAGTTTTGCTTCCAAAAGTGCATCAATATGATAAGGAACGTGATGCATCCATACTCTAGTCTAGTCTACATCTACTTCGACTTCTTTTTCCTTCTCCTATCTCCAAATTTTGTAGATGCTTGGTCATTGAAAATTTACGCACGATAGGAACAATAAGGGTCTCAAATATTCCATGGCGTCATAAGCTGAGTCCCCTCGGTCATGGGGAATAGTGGCTTTCTTGGCTCTTAGCTGCTCGTACATGTATCGTTCCTTTCTCTCCTCTCCTCTTCTCTTCTTTTCTCTTTGTCAATCGTTCTTTTCCCCACCTCACCGACCCCCCCCCTCCCTCTACCAACTCCTCCTTCTCGCACCCCATCTCGCCCCCACCTTCATCACCATCTGTCTTTGTCTCGCTCGCTCGATCTATCTCTCTTCTTCTTCCGCCCCACCTCCCAACATCCCTCGTGCGCCCGTCCCACTGCCCCTCGGCTCTTCGCCTCGTTGAGTTGCTGTCACTTCACCTCGCCATGCCACTGCGTCCCGTTAGCACTTTTAATCCAACGTCCGCTTCGGTCATTTATGATAATGTGTAGTTTGCGTACCTACGTCTGTCTTAATTTTACGCTTGAACTCTACCCTATGCGCGACGACGAATCAACATTACCCACGAATTAAGCTCTTCAAGTAGTAGATTGTACACCGAGAGTCACAAGCTTTACCCCAATTGTCGAATTCGGATATCCTGCTATTATGAATTGCATTTTTATTTTTCTTCTTATCGGTACGCTCCATTCATCAAACACGTATATACGAGCGCGCGCATGTATTGCACACACTCGTCGTTCCTCGATTACTCTGCCTTATGTAATCGTTTAAAGGTACAATACATGCCGAATTGTAGAAAGCTGTGACGTCAGTGACATAAGCTTAGAGCACTGGGTGACGTAGTTAGTACGAGCTAATTAAAAACCGAATTATTTTCTTTAATGACGACTGTATAACAAGAGCATACGCCTCAATCGACATTTTTCATGTTTTCATTCGCTATCACCGCTAATATTTAATAGGGAGTAAGCTTAAATCCAAGGATATCACTTTTACTACTTTCAACACTTGCTCTATTAGTATCATGAAACAATTCCATTTCTATTTACAATTAAAATCCGCCTTAAAATTCAATCCTTGAAGTGTGTACGTACAATTGCATTCAAAATGCTTATCAAAGATTTCTACATTTATAATAACAGTAGGGCGATGGTAATAATGTTGATTGGATTTTTATAGAATGTTAGTAGAGTCGATTGTTATAGAAAAGTCTAATTTTAATTAAATAAAATATAATAAGAAAAAATAGAGAGAGAGAGAGAGAGAGCGAATATATATATATATATATATATATATATATATATGTCTATATGTATATATATATATATTGCAATATACATATGTTAAAATTACTTGCTACCCTTGGTAAATAAAATCATTATTCTTAATTAATATCGATTGAACCTCGAAAGAAAAATAACGAATATTCAAAATGTATTTTCGTCGACTATTTATTATTATTGAAGTTATCATATCATCAGATTTAATGAATAACCATACACTTTTGTCTGAATTTAAAATGTGTAATAGATAATAATCTAAAATTAAGCGTAAATACTTTATAATACAAACGTTTAAAATACCAATATCCATTTTAAAAATGTTCAAAGTATTAAGAATAAATGTCTGGCAAGTGTATGGCAAATGTTCTTTGCATACTTTTTTGAAAAAATTTCAATTTAATGCGTTCGTGTCACAGTATCTATTCAATTTAAATTCTCATTCTAGATATTTTGCTTGAAAAAAAATTAATAATAATAATAACAATAATCATAACGGATAAAAATTTCACGGCATTGTAAAAAAATATGCATATTTTTTTATTTTATTGTCAATTAAAACAACGTTTCGTTAATATCGTACCAGTACAGCAGTATACTATATTAATAAAAAAGTTATGGCATTTTTCATTAATTAATAAAAAAGAAAAAAAGAAAAATCCTTTCAAATTAAAAGACAAATGGCGCCCGAATTTATCATAATAATTTTCAGTGCTAATTTTGCCTGATAATTTTTGATTTTACCTCTCATTGGAACAAATTGGGAAAAGTAGTATAGTTCAATATTATATACTAGAGTTTCGTTCTAAAAATATGTTTTATCGTCGTATTCTTAACTTATATTTTAAAAAGAATTGCGATTTGAATATAATATTTTACTTGGGTGATATTTTTTCTTTTTTTATCTTCTCCTTACTGTTCTTATTCAACTCGTCCAACATTCCGAAGAGTAATCGTATGCCGTTAGTATTTTCGATCGACAAAAGTGGCGCTCTTTGTACAATAAAAAAAAAGAAATTGTGTTTGGTCGTTTTATATATTTTTTTAGTTTCATATTTAATTATGCTACTCTTATCTCAAAGTAAAAAAGTAGGTTAAGGTTTTTTTAAAAATTGGAAGCCGTAATAAGTGTCATTGGGCAAATTACATTTTAGGCCGAAATTTGAAAAATTATTGTGTAACTATTGCATGTGTTATATGTGCATCTATATTCCAAGTTTTTTTTTTTTTTTTTTTTTTTTTTTTTTTTTTTTTTTTTTTTTTTTTTTTTTTTTACAAGGACATTAAATTATCTAGATTAAATAGATTAAATTGACTAATGGTATTCGTATTCGTCGTTAATTCCAATGAAATTATTAGTATTATAAATTTTAGGCTGTTTTTAAAAGAAGAATTATGGATTAAGTGATATAGCAAACACTGTCGTTTTATGCAAAATTAATATTGCCCGTAGAAAAAAAAAAAAGGTTTTATACTCATGCGTTTAGTGCTTTAACGAATGTTTTTGTTAATTTTACATGAGTTTTGTCGAATACCCCGTTTATATGGATAATTATGCATTATTATTTGATCATTTAACTTGATTTCTCAGTATACAAGCAATAAATGGAAAATAATATACAGCAGCTTTGGCACTGTACATTTAAAAAATCTTGATTTAAAATTCAAATACTT